GAGAAGTAGAAATTCGACAAATTTCAATCGTCCGCAAAGTATGACATCCATGGTCCAAGAGTGTCGGAAAGGGCACAAAGTCAAGGCCGCTTGCATCGAAGCACGAGAATAGTATGTATTAGCTCGGATCAAAGGGAACGTAAATTTAGATTTGTGCGATACAGGCCGTTTTAAACTATTCCGCGCGGATTCCGTTAAAAAAAGCTTCGGTGAGGCAATCAGGAAGAAAAACGGCACAGCTGTCTGACATAGTAAAGAGTAAAGTGTAAAGCGGGCATAGTGATTCGGCGATGATGGAAGTCTATCGCGGTGCTCCACGTTTTTCAGAAGCATCGAACTCCTAAGCAATCCGACAGCCAAGACACATTCCTTGGGTATCTTAATTTCATGCTGAATTTTTTAGCATATCATTGTAAAAAAAAGAACGACGCGATACATCAACGTGCACCGGTATCTTTAGATTACCTTTCATCGACTTTTAATTGGTTGCTGCCTGTTGACAAATAAGACATTCAGGTTAATTAAAAGAGGGCTGAGAAAAGGTGTCGGGACTCCCGACATAGAATGTGGCACGGACTGTTGATACATCGGACTGACGACGACCGCATTGTACGAACAAAAAGATTAAGACATCTGATCGATCTATCGGAACGATCACTCGGGTATAAACTACCGTTTAGAAGTTACCGGACACTCGATTGTTATGGGGAAATTAAAATTCTGCCACAGGTATCGTTTTTGCGTGGTCTCTTCTTACCTCCGTTTATTTTTTCGTTAGACAATTAAACTACGAAATTAAATATTGTCGATTAAACAAATATAACCATGCATAAAATATGGACATCGTATACAAATATTTAATTCTAAACGAAACTTTTCTAACATACTCAGAAGAATTGTAAAATTATATGTTATAAATATGAAATTCGCACAGTTTGTTTAATTTTAATAGTCAAACTCTATAACACAAAACTCTGTCAAAAATATTCCAATGAAATGGTGAAATTTGTTTTAACAAATAAAAAATGCTCGATGAGGGAATATTAAGATTACATTTCTTACAATTCACTGTTAATTGCATTTCGAACTCTCATCGTTCTCTTATTCTATCCTAACTGACACGAGTCCAACAATGAAAAATCGACAGTCACGAATTCATATCGATCTTTGTAGTCGCACCTAACATAATTTATCTTAATTGTTTGATTAGCGCACGATAACTACCTGTTCTTAGCTAAAGATACACCGAGGTCAAAAACGTAACAACTGTGCGAAAGTTGAAAAGAAAACGAGCACTCGGCGTCACATCATGGTACCACCTGCGATCGCTTGCAGTTCCAAAGGAACCGACTCGGTTACAAAAGTCTCGAGCTTTCCGAGAAATTCGAGTAGTCGATCTATCCTGCACTTAGCGTTCGTACCAACTCGTCGGACACTCAATCTTCCCGTGCGGAAATGGTTCACTGTACGCAAACTGTAAACTGGGAAAAGTCGTTAAATCTTTTTTAATCGTTCACCGTCTGCACTGGTTTATTTCGTTTTTTTTTTTAAGTGAATAGGAATACGCTGCTACGATGCGGCATGCTGCGTGTTACAGAAAACCGAGAGGCGAGTTCCTCTGTCGTACTAAACAGAGGTGTCGTGCCGAACTGACGGCTCCCGTCGGTGGAGGATCGACTTTATACAGCCTCGTGTGTCTCGCGCGCTCTATGAGCGCAGCTTTAGGAGCCTCCAGCTTCGTGTGTCACCTGACAACGAGATTTTTCCAATTTCCATCTTATCGTTCCTCCCTCGCTTTCGTTACTAATTATTGAACGACCACAGCTGTTTCGGGACCACGGAGCAGCATCGCTTGATTTTTGCGCGCTACTCTATCGGGACAAGAAGGCTGCATTTTATTGAAACATTGATATTCGCGGCGCGATTTTCTCTGGTAATTTATCGGATCAGTAATCGTGTTAGACAAGATGTAGAACATTGTTGGTGAGTTTCATGTATTCGTGGCAAAAGCAGCAAAAGCATCGAAAGAATATGAAAATGCTGATCAGTGTATCGTTTTCAACCTTTATTCTTTATTTGTCTTATTCATTTTCTTATTCGTATTGTCCACTTTTATTTTCAATCTATATTATATTTAATCTTTCAAGGTTCAACCTATTTAACACTGGAAGTGATTGGTTTCTAATATTTTCATTAATAGTTGCTGACATTATGAAAATGTTTCTGTAACAAAGTTTTCGATGCACTACTTTATTCCAGTATATATTGTAATAGAAATCGCATGAGTTTGAGTAAGTTCAATATTGTCATCGTTATGAAACAATATTCGTTAACCTGTATTTAGTAGAATCTAATAGTAGAAAATAATATATAATTAATAGAAATTAACTTATTGATAGAGGGCTTGTTCAAATCTGATCGTTTACGCATACATACCTGATAATGACGGAGTAACATTGTTAAGAATTAAATGTACACGCACCTGTCGCTTGTAAATATTTGAGAACCTGCAATATTCATTGTGCAGTACAAACAAGATATTTCTTATTATTTTATGATTGTTAGTGGACTGCAAATCTTCACGCAATTTCTCATTCTCGTGCATTAGTTTATGAAAATCTAAAGTAGCGAAATATTCTTTAGATTAACTAAAAGATTCCTTCTTGTAAACATAAAACAATAACGCAATTACGTTTCGTTAATATGCTCGTCTTTTTTTAAATTTACAAACTCGCGCATCCCATAAATGCATCGAATGCGTCAAATGCAGAAGAGAAACAATATTTAATGAATTCAAAGATATTATCGAATTACTTCTATAGGTCAAAAATTGTTGAGAAAGAAAATAAATGTTCACGTAACTTCTGCATTATGCAATTGATGCAAACAATTTTTATTTTGCATTAAAATCCACAGTCTAATGATCATTATTCTATAATTTGCGTTCAGTACGTCTTTCCAATAAGTAAGCACATTTCGTTACATGTTGAGTAAGAGATCAGAAGAAGCAGTTTGTCACTTGAATTATGATGTAGATAATAAAAGATGCTGAATTTGATGGTAAAAAATGTCCGAAAATTCTAAAATAAGAATTCAATATTTACAAAAATAAAAACATTTAGAATTCATACTGATAATCACAGTTTTTTGCAAGCAAAATTGGACATTATTCGAATTTTTCGAATAAATATTTACCGAGGATAATCATCCGAATGAATATTTTATAGTCGAACATTTTTTCGGATAACAATTATCCATTATTCATCATAAATTATTCCATATTCCGTACGGAAATTCACACTGAAAATAATCGATTTGAATAAAAATAATAGAATACAAAGTGTTGTTTTCNAAACGAGAATTTGCATAAAGAACTGTTATCTAATTACCACACTCCAGATTTTTATGTGAAATAACAAATCTCTGCATTCATCGCGAGAACCAAGGAGTTTCGAATTTTTCTTATGTTTATATTGTTTTATATATCATACTCTGCTAAGTAGAAATTATACAATATCTCTTATTTAAGATTCCAACTTCATGGAAACGGTGTATTGACATTCTTGAATTCTTTAAATGTTTTCACAGTTTTAGAACTATTAATTTCGATCGGAAATTAATAAAATAAGAGGTTTACATAATTACATTTATTTTGACATTACGTAACGAGTACAGTATAAAAAATTCGTAAAAGTAAGAAAGGGAGTGACGTTGAATTTCACAATGTAATAAATTTTATAAGGTGGACCGCGGATCTTTATGCAAAATACAAAATTGTAGCTTTTATTCGATTTTAAATAATTTAAACAAGTTGGAATTAATGCATTAACAGTTTCTTGTAATCTGTTCACTGTTTCATATTTCACCTATCCATCTNCTTTATGTGAAATAACAAATCTCTGCATTCATCGCGAGAACCAAGGAATTTCGATTTTTTCTTATGTTTATATTGTTTATCATACTCTACTAAGTAGAAATTATACAATATCTCTTATTTAAGATTCCAACTTCATGGAAACGGTGTATTGACATTCTTGAATTCTTTAAATGTTTTCACAGTTTTAGAACTATTAATTTCGATCGGAAATTAATAAAATAAGAGGTTTACATAATTACATTTATTTTGACATTACGTAACGAGTACAGTATAAAAAATTCGTAAAAGTAAGAAAGGGAGTGACGTTGAATTTCACAATGTAATAAATTTTATAAGGTGGACCGCGGATCTTTATGCAAAATACAAAATTGTAGCTTT